TTATTAGAACTTTGAACACAATCTACTAGACATCCGTTCCTGGTTTTAGCGCAACTACGTTGCGCAGCTACCTTATTAATATAATAATACTAGGGATGGAGTGATGTTACTGTGCAACATCTTAGATCTGATTGGTTGACATGACTTTAATTGTGACACATCAATTATTTTATACAAATACAACGTTTTCAAATAAGGTAGCTGCGCAACGCAGTTGCGCTAAAACCAGGAACGGGATGTGTTAGATTATTTGCGTAGTAATTACCTTTTTTGGCATCTGCTGGTGATACAGGAAAGAAGTCGTAGTATATAAGTTTTTTGCACTATGCTGTCCGAATGGTTAGTCCGAATAGCGTTGACCTCACATGACAGGGAAAAATTAATTTTTATTAAAAACAGTTGCTGTGAAAATGATGAGATTTAAAAAAAATGGCTGTCGATGCTTATCTTTAATTCTGAAATCAGCATTAAAAATGATTAACTTGCGTGTAACATTTGTTATTAAAAAATTAAAACCCACATATCCTAGTAAAACTCCCCGCACATCCCAACTCCCCTACACATCTCCCCGCACATCTCAGCAAAACTCCTCCACACATCCGAGTAAAACTCCCCTGCACATTCCAAAAAAAACCTTGTTTAGTAGTGCTATCTATGTATTAATATTAGTTTCCATGGTGACCCTACATATAGCAGCCAATCATATTTAGGGTTCGAAAATTTTCTTTTGTATTTTTTATTATAAAAGTTATAAAATTTGTAAAAAATTTTTATTGGGTGATAATAAGCAATATATTATAGAGAATTGCTATTGTACACTAGTGTACACACAGTGTTACACAAAAACATTAGAAAATTCAATTAAAATTTAAGATTAGATGCAACTTGTAAATCATTTTTTTGTGTAATAAAAACAAAATTTTTATAGTAAATAATTAAAAGGGAATATTTAAACGTAGCGTATGCGATGTTATCGCCCTGATTACGTGTTATATATGATAGCCAAAATCGTGTAATGAATGTAACAAAATCGAATACATCATCATTACACTAATTTACTTAACTATAAATAAAAAAAAAAGGATTTATTTCTTTTCGATTTCGATTCCAAACAGGGTAAATATTTATTGTAGCACAATTATTTACTTAACTATAAATAGAGAAAAAAAAAGATTTATCTTCTTTTTGATTTCGATTCTAAATGGGGTAAAGAGGATGTTTATATTTATCATAGCACAAGATCCAAAATCTCGTAACGGCTACCGTGATAGATTTAAACTTCGTAAAGTACTATTATTTTCATGCAATAGTTTTGGTCAATTATTGTTATTCTCATGTAATAGTCATCGTCAAACACTACCTTTGCATAAAGTCCTTGCCAAGTATTATTATTGTCGAATAAAATTCATCAAATATTATTTTCGCATAACAGCAACAATATACGTGTATTATACCCAGGCTGATTGCGGCAATTTTCTTCTTCTTGTCCTGTGACTTTAACAACTTTTTGCACTTGAAAATTTTAAAATGGAGACCGGGTTGAGCTTTTCTCAAGGTATATGAATTGTCTTAATATCTTTTGATACTTCAAAAGGTGGTTAGTCATTTTAAATTAATTGACTCTACTATTATTATTATTTTTTTTTTTTTTTGAAACCGATTTTATGATAGTAGATGAACCTGAAGAATCCGAAGAGCAGTGTGTAGTAGATGAACATGAAGAATCCAAAAAGCTGTATGTAGTAGATGAACCTGAAGAATCTGAAGAGCAATGTGAGATCGAAGAGAATAATTTAGATAAATTAATAATCTTTAATTATACTTATAATTATGAGGATTTTCTGATACTTTATTATACAAATATAGAATTCACTAGCACAAATGAAATTGAAAGCATTAAAAATATTTCTATGGTGCCTATTTTTGGGTCAGAACTGGAAGGGTTAAATTCTTCAAGCTATCCTTTGATAACTTCTCCTATAAAACTATGTGTTGGAACTCAGTTTAAATCATGGGATATTGCTGAATATTATTTGAAGGAATATGGAAGGCAAATAGATTTGTAATAAAGCGCTATAAAGTTGAATTTTATAGAAATCATGCAGTTAAAAAATGGACACTGACTTGTGAAAGGGCAGGTAAATATAAGGCCAAAAAGGTTAAACCTATTGGTCAACAACGTAATAAGGGCTCCAAAAAGACTAATTGTAAATGGTATGTTAATATGAGTAATCCTGAACGTACCAATTATGTGTATATAACCTTAATTCATCTGGATCATAATCACACAATTAATATTGATAATAAGAGATTTGCACCAGCATTCAGACGGTTTGACAAAAATGTACCGTATAAACTCGAAATAACGCTCATGGGCGTTATTTTGAAAATCGGATCCTCCCAAAATAGCATAGATGATTT